GAGTGAGCCCAATATTAGTGAAACCATTCTCAATGCTAGTGGAAAGCCAAGGCATATATATTCTTCGACTAACACCAAATGGGATCAACTCAAAATCTTGTCCTCGCACATTCAAATCCGAACTCCAAAACCTCTCAGGTTTAAGCACTAAAGGGTCGTCCCAAAAAGTAGAATCTCGACCAATCGCCCATACATTGACTAGTACCTGTGAGTAAGAGCGTCAAGTAAGCAAGTTAGATTAAATTTAGATGGATCAAAAGGGCTAATCAATAAATAGATAAGTCATTCACCCCACCCCCACCCGATTGAGAAAATAATATTTTTTTCAATTAACTTTAATTGACATCCATATCTGTGAGCCCTTCGGGATGATGTAATCACAATTACTCAACATTTTGTTACATAGAAGCAAATCAAGTTGTGAATGCATTCACTAGATGGAGTGTTGATGGACAATGGACATGAAGAATTAGAAGAGAAAACGAACCAGGAACATGGACTTGATGTGATTATGATTCATTTCTTCAGGGTCATTTTCAGTAATATTAAGAAACATTTCTAGAACATCACTCTTTACACTGAATTCCCTCCTCTTTTCCTCCAATCGCTCGTTGATCAAACCATCAAAAAGTTTAAATAACTTACCAATATGAATGATTGCGCGGCACCTTATTCCTTGAAGATCAATCTTTCCAAGTATGGGAAAAAAATCCACTAAGTTAGGCTTCCCTACCTCAGCCATGATACCCCATATAACATCCTTCAACTCTACCTTCGAATCCGAAAAAGGGTCAGCCAAGTCCTTGGAGAAAAGGATGTTTGACAATAAGTTGAGATTAGTCTTGAAAGCAACTTGACTTATATCCAAAGCTTCACCTTGTTGACTACATTTTTCACAATAAGCAATCAATTCTTTCACCTTTTGAGATGTTGATTTGCATCAAGCTTATTGGAAGAGAAGAAATTTGTGTTCAATATTCTGCGAAGCGCTCGCCGCCATTGAGGACAAACAGGAAGCCATGCCACAGAAAATTTGTAATGGTTGTGGGCTTGAAGGGCATTAGGGATAAATCTAGAAGAAAATGCTTGATACTTGATTTTTAAAGGCTTGTTTTGCTATGGATGATGAAGGAATCACTATTGTTGTTATTTGTCCTAATTTTAAACTCATAATTGGACCATATTTTTTTGCAAGATTGGCTAGTGATACATGGGGTTTTGCACCTAACAAGTGAATATTTCCAATAATTGGCCATGGTGATGACCCTGGTGGAAGTTTTTTGGTGGATAATTTTGCTATAGTAGTATAGAAAAAAATCAAAGCTAAAATTGATCCAAACACAAGTATATAGTAATCCATTATGCCTCTCTCACACACACCCCCTTGCTTGTAATAATAATCCACTAGGTTCTTAGAGTATGTCATTCATTTTCCCATTTATAAATTCTCTAGAGTTGTGTAATTGGAGTATTTTAAATTTAAAATTAACATCATCATTGTGTTACATAGTGATTTGTCTGGATATTTTTCAGTTGTTATATTGTGATACAATGAAATCACTTTATAATAACGTTCATATATTTTGATTGCTACAGTAAAATATTAATTGCCATTGTACAATTTACATATGAGCACTAGCTAGTAAATTAGTCCCAAAAAAAGCACTACATGAATAAAATATAATATGATTCAATGATACAATTAAAAATATCAAAATCATGACATAATATGTTTTTTTTTATAATATCGTTTAATATTCTTCTATCATTAGTACGACAACATAATGATACGATATTGCATTTTCCCGTAGGACAAAACTCATAGCTATTTTGATTTTGATTTTTTCACTTTGGAGCTTTCCATGAATATAATATAATAATATATGTTTCTATATTATATGATTGAGAACAATAATATACAATTAAAAATATAAAAATCAGATTTGCAAATCTAAACTTTATGTACAGAATTTTTTTCTCAAAGTTATCACAATATCATATCATTATGTTGTCGTACTAATGATAGAAGGATAAACGATATTTAGAAATACATATTATGTCATTTTGATATTTTTAATTGTATCATTGAGTCATATTATATTTTATTTCTGGTAGCGCCTTCTTTTTTGGGACTAATTTTCTAGCTAGTGCGCATATGCACGTAGAGTTCAAGGAAGGACCGCATCTCAAGAGGTATGATGTAGACAATTTACCCTAATACAAGTTTTAATGATTGCTTTATAGCTCAAACATGTGACCCATACAAAGACAATTTTACCTTACTAGTTATTGAGACGTGTGTCATTTATCTCATACAAATTTAACTATATCGTTTTTCTGCGAGTAGCACTGGATTTGTGTTTGTTCGTTTTGATTGATGGTCACTTGTTCTTGATATTTAAGGACTTGTTTTGCAATGGTTGAAGAAGAAATATACATGATCAAAATAAAGAATTTTGATTCTTGAAATTCGAACTATGTCATATAAATTTGAACGGAGGGAGTAACTACTTTTGTACATTAGTAGGTTCTTGGTCTGGAAGAACTGAAATCGAACTCAAACATGAAATCTCAAGTTTGAAACCAAAGTTGCTAAAATATAAATAAAGTAACTTTCAGCTATATCTTAAATAGTAGTCCTTGTGCAACTCCTCAAGTTTGAAACCAAAGTTGCTAAAATATAAATAAAGTAACTCTCGGCTATATCTTAAATAGTAGTCCTTGTGCAACTCCTCCTGGCACAATCCAACATCCTTAACAGATATTGAATTGTGGGTTTGGCCTTCTTATCAATATTTATGAATTATATCATTGATATTAGTGTAAATTTCATATATGACATATATTATAGTACTATTTTCAAGCTATAGCAGTAGATTTAGACTTTCAAGCTATAACATTAAAAATTTCAGGTTATAACAAATTTACAAAAAAAAAAAATGTTTTTATTAATTGGAAAAAACTTAAAAAAAAAAAAAAAGATAAACGAAAATTAAAAAAAAAACGAAATTAGAAATAATAAAGAAAAAAATTGAAAAAATGGAAATAGATGTATTAATTAAATTTGAATTGATTGATGATAATTTTTAATTAGCATAAATTTAGGAGATTCAAACTAATTAGGAATATTTTTTTTCCTTAATTCACTCTAATCTGTTAAAATTAATTAAGAAGTCTTTTTTATCCATTTTCAAAAAAACAAAATAAAACCAGATGTAATTGATGTTGGTGCAACATTTAATGATCTATGTTTTAAATTGTAAGATTCGTTTATTCTAGTATTTATATAGATTGTATACAACTTCATACATCTTTAAAAATACTTAATCCACGCTTGTTAAGACAATATAATTTACAATTAGGTTGTAAATTGTCCAAGATGAATAAAATGTAAAACAAAAATGTAATTGAGGTTGTTACAAAATACAATTATCACTATTTTACATTGGCATAATCGTTTATACAAGGTATTTATACATGTTGGATACCAACTTCATTTATTTTTTATTTTTTTATTTTTTTGTGTTAGAATATGAATTTGGATGCCAAAGGTGTACATTTTGGATACCAATTATAAGTCAGAGTTAGTTCATGAACTCTCAATTAGTAGTATGATTTCTTTCTAGTTAATAAGAATTGTAAAATCATAAACTCTAAATGTCGAATCCAATTTGTATGCATTTTGTATATAACTGTTATCCCGAGAATTATTATAGTCAATGTGTAATTTATCTTTAGAATGGTGTATCCATTTGGAATGCAGTCTGTATATAACTAGTATCCTGCGATTACAATAGTCAATCTGTAATTCATATGTAATTGGTATCTTTTTGAAATAAAACAGTGGATATTATATATATCAAATACTTAAAGCTGTAACAAACACAAAAATATCATCCAAAAGTAAAAAAAAAAACTTGTAATTCTAAAAAGTCTAAGGTGCAATCAACTATCTCAAATTTGATCTCCGTGGTCTTGGTGTGAGATAATTGCTGGTATTCAGAGCATGTTCTTTTGCTATGCGGGGTCCATCAAATTTGCTAGCAACAGTGCCAGTTACTTCACTCTCACTGGTCGCGCCATCATCATTCTTTGTTTTTCCATAATGCCATATGATTGTGGCATACCTTTGACGATGGTACTTTGCATCGATATCAATAGAACGCATATCAAAAACTCCATTACTGATGTATTCAGCAAATAGACACGTGTACAAACCATAATCACTAAAAAAAATTTGAAAGAAAAATCATTTTATACCATTTTCATACCAATGTTAAAAAATTAAATACATTAATGAAGAAATTGAAAAAGAAACCTTCCTATTAGAAAAAAATCTCAATTTCATATCAATATTAGTCATAATTCATACAAAACAGAGTAATTTAACAATTCATACCATTTGCATACCAATTTAACAACTCATACCATTGGGCTACTGATATCAAACCAATTTCATATCAATGTCAAAACACAATTCATACGATTTGCATACCAATATTATATCACATTTCATATAATATCCCAAAATCGTATATTAAAGTGAGATTCATATAAATATTATTCACATTTCGTACAAGTTTCACCCAAACAAAAGTTTCGAAACAACAATAAGCATAATGTGATAATTTTAGAAAAAAAATCACTAATTTGAATAATGTGAAAATAAATTAAATATAATACTTACCATAACAACTTTTTTTGCCTTTTTTGGATATTCAAATTTCTGATTCCTTCTTTTTTGTTGTTCTTCTTGTTGATGGTTTTGAAGATTGAACAATTTCTACATTTGTTGCTTTTTTTCTTTTTTATTTCACTAACAAAATCAGAATTCGAATCAAAAGGGGTTTCTACAATTTTCCCCTTCCTCTTCTTTCCCTTTTATTGTTATTCTCTTTTTGTCTATTTGTCTAAAGCAAATAACATTCATGAGAAGCATAATATAGATTTGCAACATAAATACTTGGTTCATCGTAAATATCAAATGCAAATAAGTATTTATCGACTAGGCAATGCAACATCAAAGAGGAGAGGGGATAGCTCGCAAAGGACGAGCTTTGGCTAAGGTGATACCAAACTTCTCCTCCATGTCTAATTCTTGTGGTTCAATGTCTGCTTCAAGTTTCCAATTGAATGAATTCAAGAGTGAGCCCAACATTACTGGAATCATCCTCGATGCTAGTGGCAAGCCAGGGCATATTCTTCGCCCCGCACCAAATGGAATCAACTCAAAATCTTGTCCTCGCGTGTCCAAATCCAAACTCAAAAATCTCTCGGGTTTAAACACTAAAGGGTCCTTCCAAAAAGTAAAATCTCGACCAATCGTCCACACATTAACTAGTACCTGTGAGTAAAGGCATCAAATTAAATGAATTAGTTAGTTTATGTTTGGATTGATCAAAAGAGCTAATCAATAAATAGAAAGGTCATTAATTACTCGCCCAAAAATATCAGAGCTAAGATTAAGTAATAAACAATAGGCCAAATATAATCCGTCCAACTCTAACCAAGTTTTAATTTCTTTATTTTTGAAAAAGAAATACCAAACAAAAGTTAAAAAAAAATTGATAAATTTTCTTTTGGATCTTTTTTTGGACTACTATTCATATTATATTCGTCAAATAACTTTAATTTGCCACACATACCTGTGAGCCCTTGGGAATGATGTAGTCACACAATTCAACATCTTGCTCCACTTTGCGCGGAACTAAGAGCGGAACTGGTGGGTGCAATCTTAATGTTTCTTTGATAATGCATTGCAAGTAAGGAAGTCGAGAAACATCAGTTTCTTCTATTTGTTTTCCTTTTCCAATGATTTCTGCAAGTTCAACTTGAGCATTTTTTATTATCTCAGGTTGTTTAAGCAATTCCGTCATTGCCCATTCCAATGTGCTTGTAGTTGTATCAGTACCCCCACCAAATAGGTCCTATAACATTTGTACATCAAAATATATAACCATATATTGCAGTAATTAAAAGAAAATTCATAAATTAGAATAATAATTAATAGAAACTAACATAAGGTCATGATAAGTGATGGTAATTAAGAGAATACAAACCAAGAACATGGACTTGATGTGATTATGATCAATATCTTCAGGATTTTTTTCAATAATATTGAGAAACATTTCCAGAACATCACTCTTTTCTGTGAATCCTGATCTTCTCTTTTCCTCCAATTGCTCATTGATCAAACCATCAAAAAGTTTAAACAACTTACCAAAATGAATGATTGCGCGACGTCTTATTCCTTGAAGATCAATCTTTTCAAGTATGGGGAAAAAATCTACTAGGTTAGGCTTCCCTACCTCAGCCATGACACCCCATATAACTTCCTTCAACTCTACCTTCGAATCTGAAAAAGGGTCAGCCAAATCCTTGGAGAAAAGTGTGTTTGACAACAAGTTGAGATTAGTCTTGAAAGCAACTTGACCTACATCCAAAGCTTCACCTTGTTGACTAAATTTGTCACAATAAGCAATCAATTCTTTCACCTTTTGAGACCTTAGATGTTGATTTGCATCAAGCCTATTGGGAGAGAAGATATTTATGTTCAATATTCTGCGAAGCGTTCGCCATTGAGGACAAACAGGAAGCCATCCCACAGAGAATTTGTAATGGTTGTGTGCTTGAAGAGCATTAGGAACAAATCTAGATGAAAAGGCTTGATCTTGAGTTTTAAGGACTTGTTTTGCAATGGTTGATGAAGAAATGACCACTGTTGTAATTTGTCCTAATTTTAAACTCATAATTGGACCATAATTTTTTGCAAGATTGGCTAGTGATATATGAGGTTTTGCACCTAACAAGTGAAGATTTCCAATAATTGGCCATGGTGATGGCCCTGGTGGAAGTTTTTTGCTTCCTTTGCTACATATTTTTGCTATGATATTACAAAGGATAGCCAATACTAAAATTGATCCAAACACGAGTGTATAGTAATCCATATGCCTCTCTCCCTTGCTTCAACTTTGAAAGCTAACAAGATATATGATAAATGATACAGGATGCATGTGTGTGTCAATAATGGACAAGTCAATAACCACCACTCATATTACTAACTAAAATCCATCACTCATCACTCTATCACACACAGTACAACTAATTGACTTTGAAGTAATTGACCTGGTCAGAGGTGGCTTAATTATATTTGAAATCCGTCGATCTCAACTCAAACTGTCCTAATTGTCATAAATGACACTATTTCAACGGTGGTAACAATTATACTTATTTCAATAGAACTAAAGCAATGAAAAATTACTCTCTCAAGTTTATTAATATATATGACTTACTCCTCTTTTTAGTTAATCTCAAAATGCACGTATCTGAACTTTTTGAGAGTTTCTTTTAATATATATAGGTCAAGGCCACAAATAATTTTAAATTTGAGACATATTCTAGGTTAATAGGTTCATGATTATTAGGTTATAAGTTATATATTTACATGAGAATTGTGGACTATTGCAACTCAAGAGAAAGAAGATATTATTAGCATTGAGAATGATTACATGTAATGTTTGGTCCATTTTAAATTATTTTAATTGGAAGCTTGTGGATGCCATTTTGTCAAAAGAATTAGACATGGAGGGGAATTTGGTAGTACCTTTAGCCAAATCCCATCCTTTGCAAGTCTCTTTTTTTATCGTGTTCATGATCAAAAAATCGAATTTAAAATTTAAATTTGAAAAGTTTAATGGTGTATTATTAAAATTACTTAACTTTAAATTCATAGGTTCGAAGTTTGAGTTACCATTCAAACTTTAAAACTTAAAGCTTGACGTTAGGCATGGTTTTCCCAAATCCCAACTTCAGACCAATTGAACTGAAGTTGCAACTTAGACATGAAATCTCAAGTTTAAGGCTAAATTTTAAATAGTGTAATTTTGACTATATCTTAAATAGTGATCCTTATACACTTCTCCTGAATCCTAGGCTCTTAAGCCCAATCCAATATCCTTAACAGAGAATATTTCGTTGTGGACTTGGCCCATTTATCTCCTTCTCCTTTTTTTTTTTCTGTCAAAAGACAAAAATATCCTTATTATTACGGGTTATTACATGTTATCGTGAAGCTATTTATTTTTTTGGAAGGCTGGGGGGTTTCACTTGTATTCGATATACATACTTGTGAGCCCTTCGGGATGATGTAATCACACAATTCAACATCTTGCTCTGTTCTGCGTGGGAGTAATAACATAACTGGTGGGTGCATTCTTAATGTTTCTTTTATAATGCATTGTAAGTAAGGGAGACGAGAAACATCAACTTCTTCAATTAATTTTCCTTTTCCAATGATTTCTGCAAGTTCAACTTGAACTTTCTTCATAATCTCAGGTTGTTTAGGTGTTTTTGTCATTGCCCATTCCATTGTACTTGTAGATGTATCCGTAGACGCAATAAATAAGTCCTACATAATTTGTACGTCAGAGTATATTTATAACCATAAAACACTTATATTAGTGAAGAAAATTGAGGTACCTCTTTTTAAAAAAATAACAAAACAATAATAAGCAGAGGGGAACTATTTTAAAATTATTCTTAACTTTGATGGAAATTGAAAGGAGGGAAAACTCCATTTGTAATCCTTTAGCATACTTTATGCATTTAAATTTTGAGAAAGATATGGCTCTAACACATGTTTTTTCAATCAAATTACTCAACGTTGTTACATAGAAGCAAATCAATTTGTGAATGCATTGACTAGATGGAGTATGGATAGACAATGGACATGAAGAATTAAAAGAGAAAACGAACCAGGAACATGTACTTGATGTGATTATGATTCATTTCTTCAGGGTCTTTTTCATCAATATTGAGAAACATTTCCAGAAGATCACTCTTATCACTGACTCCCATCCTCCTTTACTCCAATCGCTCGTTGATCAAACCATCAAAAAGTTTAAACAACTTACCAATATGAATGATTGCGTGACACCTTATTCCTTGAAGATCAATCTTTCCAAGTATAGGGAAAAAATCCACTAGGTTAGGCTTCCCTACCTCAGCCATAATACCCCATATAACATCCTTCAACTCTACGTAGGGGTTTACATGGCCGGGTTGGTTCGGGTTTTTCAAATATCAAATCAAACCATTTGTTTCAGATTTTTAAATTTATAAACCAAACCAAGCCAATGAAACTCGGGTTTTTTCGGATTTTTTCGGGTTGTTTCGGGTTTTTCCGGTAAAGTATTTGTAACACCCCAGAAAATTTTTGAGCTAAGACTTGAACCATCCTTCGTTGTGAGTAGGATTTTACTGAGGAATTAAAATTTCTTAAGTTTTAAGTTCACTAGATATAGCACCTTGAGTTCGAAAAAGAACTAAATTGGATATAGCAAAATCTGAAATTTTGCAAGTTATGCTTAAGTATGAGTTTTGGGTCGACTTCAAACGACCATAACTCCTAACTCAGGATGAGTTAGGTGTGCTACCAGATACTGTAGGAAATACCTTTGAATTATCTTACCAACGCCGCTGAGTTTTCTCAGTTTCGAGTTCGTATGAGGGAGATATGTCCATTCGAAGTTGGGCTGTCTAGATAAGGAAAGTCAAAACCGGAAATAGTAAGGGGTATTTTGGTCTTTTCCTTACCCAATCAGATTTAATTCATTTTTAGTAATATTTTAGGGGAGTAATATGATTAGGTTCAGTTTTATAATCCTAGTTTAGGCCTAGGGTTTTAGTTGAGAATTCAAGAAGAGAAAAGAAGAAGAGAAAAGAGAAGAAAAGAGAAAGGATGAAAGCGTTCGTCGAGATTCTTGCATCTTGTTGCGGATTTTCGCCATGGTTTGATCCTTAAGAGGTATGTAAGCTTCCATAGTGATGGGTTTTTTCACCCACACGCAAAACATGTTGTTTTCAGCACAAATTTCATTCTTGAAGTTGAAAGAGTAGAGTTCTTGATGAATTCTTGATAGGTGTTCTTGAAGTTCTCTCTAAATCTTGTTTTGTTGGATTTTTGATGATTTCTTGAGATCAAAGTGAGTGTTTTAAGGGCTGTATTGAGTAGATTAGAGTGTACTTATGTTAAGTAATTGATTCTAAGTGATTTGGAAAGAAACCGTTCGATTCTAGGCGAGTTAGGGTGAGAAAACGAGCAAAGCAATTCGTCGCGTTTTCTGGGTTGGGGCCTGGCGCGATGCGCCTGCCAGAGCGCCCCAAACCCTCCTCTGAATTTTAGGGGCTGGAGCCCCGCGCCACCCATAGCGCCAGGGTCGCCTGCCCCATCCAGTTTGTCGTCGGTTGCCCCGTTTGAGTTCGTTTAAAGTGCACCTTCACTCCCTTTCGATTCTAACTACTCTAAGCTACTTCTAAACACCTAAAATCATTCCAAACATGATCATAACCTTGAATTCATAATTCAAATTCAAGGTAGAGTTAAGAGTTAAGTTTTAAGAATTCTTTCAAACATTCTAAGAAAGTCCTTTTAAGTCATTTTGTGGAGTCTTCTACAACTTCTAGTAACTTGTTTCAAGACTCGAGTAAGTGAGCATGAGAGTTAGGAGAATGTATTCATGAGTCTACACTATCACCTAGATCTTTCATGTCATGAACCAAACTCTTGAATTCATAATTCACATTCAAGAGAGAGTTAAAGAGTAGAGTCCAAGAAAGCCTTTGAGTTCAATTGTGAATCCTTTGAGATCAACTATTGATTTGAACTAAGTTTTGAGGAAGTAAGTAAGAGAATGAGAAGAGTCGTATACATGAGTTCCATGTAGTTATGTAGACCTTCGAGTCAAGTTGTTCCATGCCCATAATTCAACATGAACTTCGTAAGTTGAGCATCTTTCGGAGAAGTGGTATCTTCAAGTTCTAAGCCTTTAATTGAGTTCTATGCATGGTTATTGAAAACCTTGAATTGAGTCGTTCATGTCCATAATTCGGCATGAACCCTATTTCAAGAAGTCTTTTTACAAATTGTTTTAAAACTTGTTTTAAAGACTTGAGCACTGAGTTGAGAAAGAGTAAAGTTGAAGTTCTGTTCTTCAAAGAAGTATATGGGGACTAAGTATTCCCAAAGAGATTTAAAATGTTTTCACATTTAAATAAGAACGGAAACTGAGATTTCCAAAGATCTTTTGGGCTAGTTTTCAGAAAAGAGAAACCGCTTTCTAAATAAAGCAAGAGAGGAAACTGATATTTCCAAGATAGCCTTTGGGCTAAGTTTTGAGCACTAATCTCAAATCACAGAAAAAGTATGTTTTTAAAACATAAGAGCTAGTATATTTTGGGAGTAGTATTGAGCACCGATATGGGGGAGAGTTCAAACAACTCACAGCCCCCATAAACCATGTAGCCATCATGGGTAGAAAAGAGTCATACTTTTTAGATGAACCCTTTTCACAATAGACTAGTGAATCCACTTAGTAGTTCAGGTCCTATACCTTTGGCCAGGTATATGATGCGATGGCAGCGTGAGGTAGATCATTGTATCATCACTATAGCTCTTATGTGATGGTTGTCGGTTAGAGAAACTCCCACAGAAGTTATTGTATTCTTATATACACAATTATTTGTTTTTTTACATATATTTCAGAGTTATGTTGTGTCCTTGCATACACACAGAGTTGACAACATGTTTTTAAACAATTTTCCTTTTCTTTATATTGCACTTGTTTTAAACTGCTTTATAATGAAATGAGTTCAGTTGAGTATTCAAAGTTGAGTATCCAGAGTCGTATATCATATCCTTGAGTTGAGTATCTAATCTCTGAGTTGAGTAAGTTTGAGTAGTTTGGAGTATTCCTTGAGTTGAGTAAGATTGAAAAGAGGTAAGTATGTTTCCTTTTTATCAAGTTTCAAGCTTATGTTTATGTTTTAAAATTCCTCTTACATGCTCGTACATTTCACGTACTGAGTCATTTGGCCTGCATCTTCTCATGATGCAGACACAGGTATTCAAGGTCATCAACATGAGCTTCGTTGATACATTCAGAAGTTCGAGTTAG